TCCATGTTTCACAACCTGACACCTATCAGTCAAATAAGAGGAAAACATTTGTATTGCAGATGATGAAAGTTGAAAAGAAATCAACTTTTGTAAGAGAGTATAATGATCAACTGTGTCAAACGCTTTACGAAAATCAACATATACAGCACTAGTTACTTGACCTTTGTTCAAAGCAGCACATATTTGTTCAGTGAATAAAATTAATGCAAACATGGTTGATCTTGACGTGCGAAATCATCTGGCAGTGAGTGACTGTGGCTGAGGAGCTTAAATACTGGTGAGAACAGGTGGATCAGATGAGCAGTGATTACTGTGGCAGTGAAGCAGGGGGCGTGGCATGAGCAGAGGAGCTGGAGAACAGGCTGTGGGTGACAAGCAGCTGAGAGCCAACTGGAGCAGCCAAAACATGACAGAGCCCCCCACCTAGGTCCTGGCTCCTGACAGGACCCTGGGCTGATCCGGATGGCCCCTGTGAAAATCTCTGATGATAGTTTTGTCCAGAATGTTCCTGGCTGGGACCCACAACTGCTCCTCGGGGCCATAACCCTCCCAGTCCACTAGATAATGGACAGATCAACCCCATCATCTGGAACGAAGCAGTTTCTTCACCGTGTAGGCAGGGGCTCCATCAATGAACCAGGTAGGTGGTGGGGGTTTGGAGGGAGGGCACAATCTTGAGGAGTATTGAGGCTTGACTCTGGACACATGGAAGGTGGGATGAATCCTGGTACTCCTAGGGAGCTGAAGACGAACTGCGACGAGGTTTATGACTTTTGAGATGGGGAATGGACCGATGAATCTGGGTGCCAGTTTACGATTTTCTACCCTGATGGGGTGAAAAGCCATACCTTTTGACCAACCTGGTAGGCGGGTTGGACCGACCATCTACAGTTGGCCGTGCGAGAGTATATGGCAGAGGTCCTTAATAGAGCCCTTCTGGCTCTGGACCAAGTCCTTTGGCACCTGTGGGCAGCGGCGTAGGCAGAGGGGACTTTGGCAGGTCTTTCTTGAATCGAGAACATGGGAGGCTGGAAACCATAAACTTGTATAGAAGGGCGAGAGGCCGGTAGCAGAGGCCTGTAGAGAGTTCATGGCATGCTCCACCCATGGCAGGTTACTGGACCATTTGGACAGATCCTCCCTGCACAACAGCCTAAGCTTGGTTTCCACCTCTTGGTTGGCCCTCTCCATCTGCCCATCAGTCTGTGGATAAAAGCCTGAAGAAAGGCTCACTGTGATCCCCATGAGGTCGCAGAATTCTCACCAGAACTGAGAGATGAATTGAGGACCTCGGTCAGAGACAATATCCTTAGGGATGCTATGTAATTTGAAGACCTCCTTGACCAAGACCTCGCCCAGTTCCTTGGCTGTGGGTAACTTCTTAAATGGGACTAGATGAACCATTTTAAAGAATCTATTGACAATAGTGAGGATGACAGAATTACCAGCAGAGAGAGGTAGACCAGCGATAAAATCCATGGATATGTGGGACCAGGGCCGGGGTGGGATTGGAAGGGGGCACATTAATCCAGCAGGAGGAAGATGGGAGGCCATGGCCTTTGAACATTGGGAGCAGGCAGAGACAAACTCCTTGATGTCCTTGGACAGGTCCTCCCACCAGAACTGAGAGCGGACCACTGATAGCGTCTTGGTGATTCCTGGATGACAAAACACTTTAGACCAGTGACAGAAGGTGAGTACCTTACTTCTGAGGTGTTGTGGTACAAACAACCAATCAGGGGGACGTGGGAGCAGGATGGTGGGACTGATTGGCCTCTTAGACGTCTTGTTCCAGTAGGGTCACTGACAGCCTGACAGATTGGGATAGGATGAACTCCTCAGTCACATAAGGGCAGGTGTGTTCATCAAGGTCATGGATCCGGGACAATGTGTCAGCCTTGATATTTTTCTCTCCAGTCCTGTAGGCAAGGGAAAATTGAAAATGAGAGAAAAACAAAGCCCACCTGGCTTGACGAGAGTTGAGTCTTTTAGCTGTTTTCAGATACTCCAGGTTTTTGTGATCAGTCCAAATCACAAAGGGTTCCTTCGCCCCCTTGAGCCAATGTCTCCACTCCTCCAGCGCCATTTTAACTGCCAGTAGTTCACGGTCTCCTACATCATAGGCTATGTTCACACTGCAGGCAAATCCGACCCAAATCCGATTGTTTTGCCCCATCTGACCCATATCCGATTTTTTTATGACAGTCTGAACGCGACAAATCCGATTTTTTCAAATCTGACCCAGGCCGTTTCAGTATGTGGTTTTAAATTGGATACATATCTGATGTTTTCAAAGTGACTGCAGTGTGAATGCTCATGTCACATTCCATCTGACTTTTTCATCAGGAGGGAGTGAAAGATCGACAAGACACTAACCTCAAGTCACGCTATTTAAATCTGTAGCTCCATGTGTTTACAGCTCCAAAACTCAAGTCCAGTTGCTTTGTCTTTTTACTTTTCATTTACCATGTAGATAGTATGATGATGTCCAGCCTGGGTTGGAGTGTATCGATCCTAAAGTTAGCTATTCGGTCGATACTTTTTCCAAGCTCATAGTTTTGTTTAAAAAAAAGCTTCACAGGAGCATCCCGGTCAAAGGCTGGTTCAGATATAAAGACTGAACTAAACAAGCATGTCAGATAATTATTTAATTGGCTTTGATTAAACAACAACTTCAGATTCGATGTACAAAATGTAACATCCATGCTAGCTCTGTGAACAAACAAGCCGGCTGATGAGACATCACGTCTTTTACTGCGCGTGCGTGTCACATCAGTACTATGTAGAGTTCACACAAGAGTCTGATGCAGGTCACATTTAAAATGTAATGTGAACGTTTATGCCAAAAAATCTGATTTTTTCAAAAAATCGGAACTGAGCATTAAGACCTGCAGTGTGATTGTAGCCATAGTTCCTTTTGGCGCTGGAAAGGCTCCTGGAGAAATAAGCACATGGATGTATTTTTTTCATCTTCACCCACCTGACTGAGCACAGCCCCTATACCGGTGTTAGAAGCATCCACTTCAACGATGAACTGCCGGTTGCAATCAGGAGAGTGGAGGATGGGAGCCTGGACAAATAAATCTTTTAATTTGTTAAAGGCAGTTTGGTCTTGTTTATTCCATTTAAACGTAACCTTGACTGTGGTCAGAGCGTTGAGAGGTGTGGCAACTTGGCAAAAGTTTTTCATAAACCTGCGATAAAAATTTGCGAAGCCCAAGAATCTCTGTAGCTGTTTTCTGTCTTTGGGAGTGGGTCAGTCTTTGACTGCGGAAACCTTGCTCTGATCCATGGATACTTGATTGGGGGAAATGACAAATCCTAAACTCACATTTTTCAGCATTGACAAACAGTTTGTTTTGGAGGAGTCTTAGTAAGACGGATCTAACATGTTTCTTATGGTCTTTGAGATTACTGGAGAAAATCAAAATGTCATCAAGAAATACAAAAACAAATTGGTTAATCATGTCACAGAGCGCATCATCGACCATATATTGAAGTATTGCTGAGGCATTGGTGAGACCAAAAGGCATGACCAGGTACTCACAATGGCCTGTAGGCGTGTTAAAGGCAGTTTTCCATTCATCTCCTTCTCTTATGCGAATGAGATGGTAAGCATTGCGGAGGTCAAGTTTGGTAAAAACCTTGGCACCTTGGATTAAATAAAAAGCTGATGACATCAGAGGCAGAGGGTATTTGTTCTTAATTATATTGTTGAGTCCCCGATAGTCAATACAAGGCCTTAGAGAACCATCTTTCTTTTTGACAAAAAAAAATCCTGCACCAGCTGGGGAAGCACAGGGACGAATGATACCAGCTTGTAAGCTTTCTTCAACATATTTGTTCGTGGATTGATTTTCAGGAGCAGACAGTGAAAAAAAAGTCTTCCTTTAGGAGGTACTGAACCGAGCAGAAGATCAATGGGGCAGTCAAAAGGACTGTGGGGTGGTAGTGAGGTTGCTTTGGCTTTGTTAAAGACCTCTTTCAGATCATGGTTCTCCTCAGGAACCATGGACAAATCAGGGTAATTTTTAATTAATTTTATCAGGGGAACCAACGACCTTCTGGCATCAAAAAGTAGGGATGTCCCGAGCCGATCACATGATCGGAAATCGGTCCCGATCACGTGATTTCAGACTTGATCCGTATCGGGAGTTACACCCCGATCAGGGATTGGATAAATATGTGTATATTTATTCTAAACACAAACGGGAATAATAACTGTTAGTATGTTGTGTTACAGAGTCAAATTGTCTTGAAACAACTCATGCGCAGTATTTTTGCAGCAGTGCCTGCCGTAAAGCCGTGACTGTCGTAAAACAGATACAGAACGGCATTAGCTTGAAGTGGATGCAGGCATGTCTGTGGTGTGAAGATATTTTAAAGTGGATGACAAAGATATTGCGTTTGCAAACTGTGAGATATGTAAAGTTCGGATTTCAAGAGGAGGTAAGGAAAAGGCTGCATTTAACACAACGAACCTGATAAGGCACCTCAAAAACAAACACCCAACGCAATACACAGTTTAACCAGTCAACCCAGCCGAAGACGAGTCAGCTCCCGCTGCAAGAGACCTTAAAAAGGAAAGAAAAAATGCCCTGCGACAGTGAGAAGGCGCAGGGCATCACAGCTAAGATTGCACAAATGAATGCAATGAGCGACCAGCCATTTGCACTTGTAGAAGACCCGGGATTCCTTATGCTTATGGAGTACTTAGAGCCCCGGTATGAAATGCCCTCTCGCCACTATTTCACCTAGAAATCACTGCCAGCGCTTCAAAATAAAATTCACAACAAACTACATGAACTGTTATCAGATGTGCCCCATGTTTCATTTACCACAGACATCTGGAGTTTGTCTCTGTCTCCCATGTCACTACTAAGCCTCACAGCACAATGGATTGACTCTAGTTTTGTTTTACGTCATGCAACCCTGCATGCCCAGGAATTTCACGGCTCTCACACAGCAGAGCGCATCCAACAGGAGATGGAAAAGATGCTAACCAACTGGGGAATCGATAAGCAACGAGTCCACGTCATTTTGCGTGACAACGCTGCAAATATGAAGAAAGCCATGGGGAGTATGGGAGTGAGGAGTGTGGGTTGTGTTGCACATTCTTGCCAACTCTGCGTGCATGAGGGCCTGCTTTCCCAGCGCAGTGTGACAGACACCCTGGCCAACGCGAAGAAGATTGTAGGCCATTTCGAACACTCACCACTGGCCTACTCTCYCCTTGAAGACATCCAGATGGACCTGAAAATGGATATGAAGTGCTTACAACAAGACGTGCAGGTAAGATCCCTCTCATAACATTATCCCACCCCCTCTTATTTATTCTCATACACTTCATTTAATAGGTTGCTAATACTTCATTTCTGCTCTTTTCATATTCAGACGAGATGGAATAGCAGTCTCTACATGTTGCAGAGCCTACTAGAACAAAAACGGGCTCTCAGTGTCTTTGCAGCTGAGCGCACTTTACCAGCAACACTGACAGCCAGTCAGTGGGAATTGATGAAGACAGCTGATGTGCTTGCCCACTTTGAACAGCTGACCAGGGATGTGAGCAGAGASACTGCAACTGCAGCTGATGTGATCCCTGCCATAACAGGTCATTTGTATTTTTATTGAAACATTTATCGATACTGTTTGAAACTAACCATTCATTCATTAGTCCTCAAACGTATTCTGTCTCGGGAGGGGGATGAGGAGCAGGGAATCAAGACCATGAAGAAGACTCTTCTTGAGGCAGTCGAAAAGCGCTTTGCTGWTGTTGAAACTGAGCCAGTCTTCTACATCGCCACTCTTTTAGATCCCAGATACAAAGATCAGCAAGTACAGTAAAATTAAAATGCACCTTTTGTACATTAATTTTATATAAATTCAAATCATTACCAACCAACGCCAGTTTTAAGCAAATTTATTTATTTTTTATATTTCCCTTTTTGTTAACATCTGGATCTATAGTTAGATTTTTAATTGTTTATTAATCAAGGCAGTGACCTAACTGAGGAGCTGTGCTATGTGGCATCTCTCGTCCTATGTTGTTTTTAAAAGWGTGTTATTTTTGTGTATTTTTAGCTTCTTCACAAAGTCAGTCAACATGACACTTGCAAAGGAACACCTCATCCAGGAGGTGGCAACGAGAGCCACCAGTGCCGTGTTAGAGGAAGCAGGGAATGCAGCAGAGCCAGTAAGCAAGGCACCACGGAGTGAAGCATACAGCAGCCTGGACAGCACCTTTGAGGAAATCTTACAAGAGAGGCAGTCACAGGCCCGTTCCGTGAGTAGCACATCAGCAGAAGTGCAGGTACAGACCTTCCTCTCAGAGCAAACCACCCCTAAGWYAAGCAACCSACTTCAGTACTGGAAAGAACATGCTAATCAGTTCCCCTCCATGGCTGCTGTTGCAACCCAGTACCTATGTGCTCCTTGCAGCTCTATGGACAGTGAGAGACTGTTCAGTGCTGTTGCTAAAATCCTTGACGAGCACAAGAACAGACTCAAACCTGAAAAGGTAGAGATGTTGGTTTTCATAAAGAAAAACATACACTTGCTTCTGTGAAGCCACAGGAGGAGAGTTAAGGAGTGTAGTTCAGAAAAGCATGTTACTAGCTTTAGTTTATAACACGGACACTTTGTTTCTTATTTGTTTACATGCCTGCTCAGTATTTTAAGTTGAGCTGCTAATTTTAAATTAGACATTTCTAACTGTTGCACTAAACTTTAATGTGAAGAATTTATTTTATTTCTTATTGATTGTTCAAGCTACCTCACAGAAGTAGTACTCTGTTAAATGTTAAAGTGCGGTAAATAAAATAAAAAATAAGGGACATCCTGGATCTGTTTCTTTTCTTCATTTTAAAAATGTATTTTAGAAGTATCAGATCGGGATTCAGTATCGGCCAATACTCAAAATTAAAGGACTCGGACGCGGGGGTCAGAAAAACCTGATCGGGACATCCCTATCAAAAAGACAGGAGGAGGAACACTGATCAGCCCAGCCGGTTATTTCTCACGACCCAATCAATATGTGGATTGTGTTTTTTTAAGCCATGTGGAACCCAATATTACTGGTAGATTAGGTGACTGGATGACAAAAAATTTCAGACTTTCCTGATGGTTATCACTTAATGGGAGCCGAACTGACTCAGTCTCTAGATTATCCTGACTAAGAACATGGCCATCAAAGGCCGTGATCACATGATCACTCTGGGTAGAAAAAATTTTAACCCCTAAAGATTTAGCAAAACCTTCATCAACAAATTCTGTCAGCTCCAGAATCAATGAAAACCTGAGTCTGATGTTTAACACCATCGACACACAAATCAGCAGGCAGGGTAAGTATGGAGGAGAACTCAAGTCTTTTATTGACTGGACTCAGTAGAACTCTCCTGGATTCTACTGAGCCTGACCTTTTTAGCAGGCAATCTCTGATTACGTGACCTTTAGCTCCACAGTAAAAGCATAGGTTGCCTGACCTGCGACGGTTGCATTCCTCCTGGGTGAGTTTGGTCCTGACGATCTGCATGGGTTCCTCTGAATGACCAGCACTGTGAGCTCCACTGGGTGCAGAGGAGGTGAGCCATTTTTCACTCCAGAAACTTGGTGAGGAGTTGTACCTGCCTTGTTTTTCTCGTCTTTGCTCCAATAGTCGATGCGTGTGGCCAGTTCCTCCAAAGCTCAAAGATCACCTGGTCTGTCTCTGGTTGCCATTTCATCTTTCATGTCATCATTCAATCCTTGAAAAAAAAACACCCATTAATGCTGGATCATTCCATTGACTGTCTGAAGCAAATGTATGGAAGTCAATAATGTATTCGGTGACCCTCTTATTTCCTTGTTTTAAAGAAAACAGTTTACGTGCTGCATCACGTTCAGGCGGGACAGGGTCAAACACTCTGATTAGCTCACCGGCAAAGTCCTTATAGGTGTAGCAGATATATGTGTCTCGTTGCCATTCAGTAGTGCCCCAAAGTTTTGCCTTACCAGACAGTAGAGAAAAAACATAAGCAAACTTTAATCGGTCGGTGGGGAAGAAGGAAGGCTGCAGCTGAAAATGGATCACACACTCTCTTAGGAAGGCACGACATTGGTTAGGATCACCCATGAAAACTTCAGGAGCAGGGAGCTTTGGTTCATTCTTAGGTGAAACCTGGTAATGAAAAGTAGCAGACGGGGATTGGTTAGGCTGCTTCACCACACCGCTCATGGTTCCGGACAAATCACGGATCATCTGCATCATATCCTGTAAGTTGGTCTCCAGTTTGGTGATGGCGCCCTCTACACCAGATTGCCACAGAGCTTGTTATGAATCATCTTTAAATTTGGCCAGATGATTCTGACGTGTGTGTTTAGGATTCAGAACAGCTGGAGACGAAAACAGATTTAAAAGTTTTATTAAAGCGCTGGATGCGAGTGATCCTCTGGACCCTCAAAATGGACAACACTGTAGAGCAGAACACTGATGAGTGTCGGGAGCAGACAAGGTGAATTTGCTGAATAAACAAGTGTTACTGACCTTCGGTCTGCAGACGGATTTGTGCAGGTGAGTCCACCCCTGATGGTGATCCAAGAAGGGTCAGATCTGGGTTCAAGGGCTGACTGGTTTTGGTAATCCAGAGGACAGTCCAAGGTCAGAGCCGGGAGGTCAGAAATCTAAAAACAAATCCAAATCACAATCCAGGTAGCGGTGTCCAGAGAGCAGAAACAGGTTCACAACCCAAGGGTCAGATTCAGCGTTGGTATCAGGCAAGGGTCAGGCAGGAGACGAAGGTCAAGAGGCAGGCCGTGGGTCAGGAATGGGAGATCAGGCATAGACATGGAGAAGATGCTGGACATTTACTTGGCAAACCGTTCAATCATCTGGCAGTGAGTGACTGTGGCTGAGGAGCTTAAATACTGGTGGCAACAGGTAGATCAGATGAGCACTGATTACTGAGGCAGTGAAGCAGGAGGCGTGGCATGAGCAGAGGAGCTGGAGAACAGGCTGTGGGTGACAAGCAGCTGAGAGCCAACTGGAGCAGCCAAAACATGACGAC